TTGATATTATTAATCAAATGAAAAGAGGTTGCAACGTTTCCATAGGGTATATTTTATTTGTACTCGGATTTACTCGAAGGATGCTCATTGTTGAAATTAAGCAAATACGTGTTTTGGCAATTTTTAAAAATCAACCCTTAAGGATGAAATGTTGTTGCTACGTTTGTATTTGAAATCTAAGATGGCGACATTACATAAAATTATAACGTTGTAAGGGTGAATTGGAAGTTAAAAGGTTTTATGGAGAAACAATATTAATTTCTGCGAGCGAAGCCGCGGGAAAAAGCTAGTAATTTTATAAAAGGAAATAGATTATAAGATAAAAGCGACAAAGTGTCGGAAAGTTGCTGTATATGACGTCCGGTACAATGTGATTGTTTTTAATCGGCCGTACAGGTATTTTTAATTACATCATATCTAATAAAATTAAATATTGGGTTGATGATTTTATATAATCTATATATATATAAAAGAAAGTCGTGTTAGTTACACTGTTTGTAACTCAAGAACAGTTGAACCGATTTGGCTGAAAATTGGTGGGGAGGTACCTTAGAACCAGGAGACGGACATAGGATACTTTTTTTATCCTGTTCCCGTGGAACTTTACATAAAACGTGGTATAAGAAAACGCAATTGACATGGAATAACAAAACGGAACTGACAGCAAAACGAAAAATTTATCAGTTAAAACATCAGTCTAGCCGTTCATTTGTTACAAATGGTATAACAATAATTCAATCTTTTGTAGTGTTTTCGGTAGTTTTTGGTATTGCACAAATATGGCGCAATGAATTAAAAGAAAACACTAACATAGAATTGGTCTTTAAGATTTTAATAAACACAACAACAGCAACAAGACAATCACAAAAAAAAAACAACAACAATAACGATAATAACAATATATGGTAAACTTGCGAAATAGCTGGGAGAACTAGAAGAACTCTGAAGAACTAACTAACTTTTGAAATAAAAAAAAAAAAACTTTTGGGTGTTTCATTCCCACCAGCCAGTAATGCTGGTGGGCGGGCAGTCCCTCCGGGCTATGCCGGAAGGTAGGGCGGAAGGCCCTCTTCAGCCTGCTTTCAGGAATCGTGGGAATGGGTGGGTGGTGGTTCGGGTGAGAAAGATGAGACGGACGAAATGAAGACAGAAGAGA